AAGAGTTTCGCTGAAGAGTGCTTAGAATGGTGTATATGGGCCATATTTATAACCTAAAAGGATTGGCAGTCAAATTTAAAAGGATATAAAACATACTTTTTCGAAAAAAGATTGTATAGTTCCCCTTATCATTTCCGAGAGTCTGCAGGAAACATGGCTGAAAAAATTTTCTTGTTTGAAACATGTTTTTCGTTCGTTTTAGAGCATTTCCAATGGAGCTAGAGTGATTTTAAAAGGTTTTTTTAACACGTTGACGACAATGGCGTTTTTGCACAAACAATCGCATGGGACAACGTTGTTTTTTTTCGACAAAAAATGTCACCTGACATCAGGTGACAATGTCCCACAGAGTTCTTTTTTTTCAAACTTAAAATTTTTGTGAAAGTTTAAAATTATTCTTTGATAATTATGTTATTAGTTGTTGTTGTTAGTTGTTGTTATTAGTTGTTATTCTTGCAAGGAAATGGTCAGAGGGGTCCGTATTAGACTTGGGCCGGAATTCTGGTTCCGGTTTTAATAATCAACGGTTAAATCGACATTTTCCGGGACCAAGTCGAATATAGATACTACCCTACTTGCTTATTTAATATCCATCATCAGCAAACATAAATATGCACAAAAAAAAATCAATTTTGGTACTGTCACCTGACATCAGGTGACAATGTCCCAGGCGAACGAATATGTGTCAGACAGCATCAGGTGACAATGTCGTCAACGTGTTAAATAAATTGTACCCTAAAATCCCGTGTATAAGCAGATGCTTCGGGGGGACTCATTTTTATCAATAATAGAAGGAAATTTCCTTCAATTACAGTATTGACGGTATATGTTGTGTTCGATTAGATTAGATTAGATTACATTGAACTTATCGCCGACATCCGATTTAGATTACAATCTACAGGGTGTTTAGTAATCTTACTTTACATATTAGCTCTAATATGACACCACAGTGCCATTAGAATGAATTAGAATTGTAATCTATTGGGTTGGTGGATTTTCCTTCGTTTTTCTCGTCTCTTTTTTGTTGTACCCTAAAATTTACCAAAGGAAATTTCTCACTTCTCGATAGTGCAAGAACAGGAAGACCATCGGAAAGCGACGAAGACAAACTTGCTGATTTGGTTGAAGAGGATCCTCGACAAACGAGTCGGGAACTCGCTGAGCAAATGAATTGCCACCATACCACGATTTTGAAACATCTTCGGAAAATGGGAAAAGTTCAATTGTTATTATGGTAAATTTTAGGGTACAACAAAAAAAAAAAACAAGAAAAACGAAGGAAAATCCACCAACCCAATAGATTACAATCTAATTCATTCTAATGGCACTGTGGTGTCATATTAGAGCTAATATGTAAACTAAGATTATTAAACACCCTGTAGATTATAATCTAGATCGGATGTCGGCGATAAGTTCAATCTAAATAGAACACAACATATACCGTCAATACTGTAATTGAAGGAAATGCCCTTCTATTTCTTTCCCTATCCTTTTTGCCGACTCCCCGAAAAATCACATAAGGGATTCAGGATTTTTGTGTAAGAAGCGAGCATCTAACTCTGATAAATTTAGCCGGTTTGGATGACTTTTAAAAGGATGATAAGAGTTTGATTCACAGATTACAAATGCTTTGGCAACAAATTCCAAGAGATTATTTTTTTTGGCATATGAATAACATATAAACTATTCAATAAATGGTACACGTTGAATGAACAACTGATAAACTATTCAATAAATGGTACAATAAATGGCACGCGTTACTTAAATTCGCCTTATAGCCTACTTCTAAAAAAAAAAGATGCTCCCATGTCAATTTCGCTCAAGTTAGGAATCACAGTTCGACTTTTGACCCAACAAAATTTCTATTTGACTACGGGCGACCTACATGGAGTATCGAAAATGTCTGCATGGCGAGCATGTAACGAGATTGTGCAATATTTTTTCAAAAACTCTGCACAATTCATCAAATGACCGCAGGGTGCTTATGCATGTCGAACAAAACTACTTTTAATTTTGTTTTGTTTTATAAATCCTCATTTGCTGAAGATGATTACCGTATTTTTGTGTAATAGTAGTGCAGTCTATAATAGTAGTGCAGTCTGTAATAGTAGGGCAGGCTGGAGGGGGGTTGAAAAAAAATAGTAGTGCGCACTACTATTACAGAAAATACGGAAATAGTGTATAAGTAAGCATAAAAATCTCATATTTATCCCTCAAATCAAGAAAAAATTTCAGTTTAGCGCCGTGCTTCTCGACTTGATTCATGGCTTTTTCTGTTTAGCACGATACACGAATTCTGAGACAACACAACATATAACTATTCAATTCAATGGTGTTTTAAGCATTCTGAATGTCGATCTCCGGGTGCAAGCGGTTTGCTTTTTAACGCAAGAAAACACAAGAACACAAAAGGACACTCGTCGCTTCTTTTCCGAATCAGAATCATGACTTTTTATGGTTAAAAGATTGACAAGTTATATAGAAAACTCAAAATTCAACAATTATTTGAAAGGGAAAAGAAACCCATTTAACGAATTATACTTTCAATTTTTAAGTTTTTAATCGGTTTCGCTGGTTGGCACATCGGTTTTGCCCTTCATTCTCTTTTTTTCGGCGCTCTTTTGCGAATTCTGCCCATCGAGTCGCGGAAACGAACACTAACAAAGTGAGATTTTGATTTGTTTCTATCAAGTAGACAGTGAGATTTGATTTCATTTGAATTTCAATTCAATTTGAATTCTTCAATTTCAGAGGAATTGCCATTTTCTCTGCGGGAAACGGCTTTGTCCTTCTTTTGCATTTTGGCATATTCTTCTACAATCATGATGAGGTAGAGTTGAAAGGGAAAGTGGAATCTGCTTTCCAATCTGCTTTCCAATTTGAATTTCATGTTCACAACAGTTCCAAATGGGGTTTTGTAGGTTTGAAAGATGAAAGATTCTATAAAGATTTGTTTTGAAACAAAGCGGTTTCTCGGTTACTTGAAACCATTTTCTTCTATTAGAGAGAATCCGGTAAATCCGGTTTTTTTACATTCGAAATTTATCCGGTTCCGGTAAATGGTCTTTTATTTTTCAACTTCCCTTTAGAAGGATTTTCTATTGAAGAGAATACCATGTGAGGGACCGTAATCATCAAAAATTTGTCTATATTTCCTTATGATTAGTCAGGAGTCAGGAGTCAAAGTCAGAGTTAAATCCGCACCAATTTCAGAGTCAATATATCATCAATCCATCGATTTTTGCGTTAACTTTCAAAACGCGGACTCCATTTATTATGACGGCGATCTTTTGCCTTGGTTCAACCCTTCTCGTCCAGGCCACATTGATCTTGATTGCTCGCAAGCATTTCTCTTCACTTAAAGACAGCGTCTTCTTATCAAATGGCACTATACAAAAACAAAAGCTGTTTATCAGAAACAGCATATTACAGGTCGATCAGATCAAACCATGCTTGATTATTTGATAAGAATCATAATCATGACTGCTTGATTGATGCTTTTCGATTTACACCTGATTTTTGAGCTTAGATATAGTTTTTCTGGTGCAGTTTTTTGCGTTGATTCTGAATATCTAGATCGTTTGGGGATGACGTGTTGAAATTCTCAATATCTCTCACAAGATAGCTCCAAAGTTTACACACAATTTTTGATCATGCCTTTTTTCGACCATGGATAGTCAAATTCTTTTTGCGCAACCCTGATAACATGAGCTTGTGGTCGACTGGTTTGTGTGTTTACCTTGACTTCTTTACCTCACCGGTTCGAACCCGCTTGCAGACGCTTTGGTTTTTTGTGTTTAGTGATGTAGAAATCTTGACTAAACAATCTTAGGGTATTTTACTTTTATTTAATGCAAAATAATAAAGCAAATACACTAACCAGTCGGCCAAAAGCTCACGTTTTCATGGTTTTGAAAGCAATTTGACTATCCATGGTCGAAAAAAGTGATGCTGAAAAATTGTGTGTAAAGTTTGGAGCTGAATATCTTGCGAATTTCACCATTTCATCCCCAAACCATCGAGATATTCAGAAAAAAGAAATCAGTGCAAAAAACTGCACTAGAAAAACTCTGTCTAGGCTCAAAAGCGAGATGTAAATCAAAAAGCATCGCTAGTAAGCTAAATTTCAACATTTCCCAGTTCCTCATCCCATTGCTGTTTTACGTGGGTCCGGTGGCGAGTCGAAAAATTGCGGCACGATTCACAATTTCTCAATCAACTGGTGATCATTTTTAAAAAGTTCATTGAAATTTGTAATTCTTTAATTCTTTTTTTTCCCAATTTTAAGCCATCATGGATTTTTCGAATTTTCTACAAACGTTTTATGGTATAATCTTCACGATCACGACAATCGTCATCTATCCTCCATATCTTCAATATTTTACTGAGAAATTTGGCTGCAGGAATGGTGGATTTGATCAAATATGTAGAAAACTTTAATAAAAACTAGGTTCCACAAAAGCCGATCGTCCACTTCGACCCTTTGCAACATCGATGAGCACAATTGCATATTGATTGATCGCTCATGATTGATCGCTCACAATTGCATATTGATTGATTGCTCATGATTGATCGCTCATGATTGCATATTGATTGATCGCTCACAATTGCATATTGCTATTGATCGCTCATCTCAATGTTTTAACCAAGAAAAACTTTAAAATCCCACAAATGCTTTATTCTTTCTCGTAAATCGAATAACGGTTTTGGTTTCTGATGATCTCGCTAACGTTTTCGTTTTTATTCTTGATCACGTTTGTTTCGATTATATTTCTGTTGTAAAATTACTCTACTCTGTCAGTTTCAGACTTGGTTACCCAAGTTATCTTGAGTTTTAGATCAAATTCTTATACTCTACAGTAATAAATACATAAATTGCTTTAATTTCTACAGATAGCCAAGAAAAAGCGAGTGATTATGAAATTATTTCTCAAAACATAATAAAATAAACAGTTTCACTTGCCCTTTTTTATGCTTGAGAGTTTATTTCCAAATGATCATGCAAAGAAATAAAAAGAATAACAAGTGTAATCATCGAAAACGCCTCGATCTTTCACATTTGTGTAGTGGAAGATGTGTTCAGTTTGCACTCGATTCAAACGATACGAGACTGTCTCACCGCTCACATTGCACATACCCTGATCAAATTTCTTGGTACTTATCAGTTAAACATCCACAGCGACGCAAGTCGGTTAAGCAAAGGAGCTGACAACTTGTGAGGGGTGATTACGTACGTTAACGTAACCTGAACGGTTACGTTCAGGAAAGTAGAGAGCTCGTCTGAAGTGATCAGTCGATCAGTTGAACGAAAAACGATAATCGAAAAGACTCGCATGGGGATGCTTAACCGAGTTGAGTCTTTGTGGATCGACTCGGATAGACCAAAACACATAGATTCGGATAGACTAAAACATGAATCGCCTAGCGTAATCCGTAGCCTCGTTAGCTGATGGCTCGTTAGCTGATGGCTTGTTAGCTGATGGCTTGTTAGCTGATGGCTCGTTAGCTGATGGCTCGTTAATAGCTGTTGCCGTAGCCCGGTTAGCTGATGGCTTGATTGTGCGGCTTACTGTAGCATCAACTAACTTCGAGATGGAGAATTTGGTACTTTTCGGTTAAACATCCACAGAGACTCAACTCGGTTAAGCAAAGGAGCTGACAACTTGTGAGGGGTGATTACGTTCAGGGAAGTAGAGTGCCTGAAGTGATCAGTCGATCAGTTGAACGAAAAACGATAACCACAAAGACTCGGATGGGGATGCTTAACCGAGATGAGTCTTTGTCGATTTATAACCGACAAGTACCAATTTCCTTGCTAAACAATTTCAAAATCCACCTTGAAAGCCGAAAGCTTGTGGCGAACCATCGCAAAACTTCGAGAAAGCGTTTCATTTGTGAAAGCAACACCGCCACTCACCAACAATTCCATCAATTTCCCGAAATCTTCCCAAGAATGTTTCCTGAAATTGGTATTTTCTGAAAAGAATTTGCAACAACTTGACAACATCAAGGATCTTCTTTTTCTCATTTTCCACAAATGGACTGAATTCTTTTAGATGATCGAGTTGTTGATCGTCAAAATGAGTGATCATTACATCCACTCCGCGTTCGTTTTTGATGAGAATGCAAGAATTTTGGGGACAGAGGAAATGTGAAGAGATGTGAATGGAACTTGTGGGAAGGACGAGGATTTGACGTCGGACGCTAAAGATTAAACTGTTACCGTAATCCCAAAAGCTACCGCAAACACAAGCTACTGTAATCTCAAAGCTACCGGTATCCCAAAAGAATACCATAATCTCTGAGCTACCGTAATCCCAAAGCTACCGTAGTCCCAAAAGAATGCCATAATCTCAGAGCTACCGTAATCCCAAAGCTACTATAATCTCAAAGCTACCGTAATCCCAAAAGAAGACCGTAATCTCAGAGCTACCGTAATCTCAAAGCTACTATAATCCCAAAGCTACCATAATCTCAGAGCTACCATAATCCCAATTCAACTCACTCCTCGAATCCCAAATCCTTCAAAGTTTCACTTATTTCTTCAGCCAAAAGTTGATAATCGCAAGCACCAATTCCTTCACCAGTCGCAAAGTTCAGCTTTCTAAAGTATTTTTTGGACAAAAAATTTGTGATCGTCCTTTTGCCAAAACCTCCTCTACAGCGGTGGTATTGCTCTAAAAGCTTCATTTTTTTTTCAAACATTATTGATTGAGACCAGCTTATTGTACAACCAGATAGTGATATTTTTGGCGGCATCAAAACGACTCAAGATGCTCTCCGTGTGATAATCTGCGTGAGTTTCGCTGAAGTGACACGCTGGGACCGAGAGAGCCTAAATTGAATGAGTTTTGAATGAGAAATGCCGGGATTTTTGAGAAAATTCCTTAAAACTCACAAATTTCGTCAAAGCACCAATCATTTGATCAACAAAGGCAGCGATGGTTTGACGATGAAAGAAATTCCCGTAAATCACTCGCTCCATAAAGCAACTGAAATTTGAAAAATAGAGAAAATGCGACAAAACCCAAATCACCTATGCAAAAGATCATTCAGCCGAGCCAACACTTGCTCCAAGTTCTCCGCAATTTTCTTCCGCTCCTCACTCGACAATTTTTTATCGTTAAGAACTAAATTGGACAAGAGGTTAGTGCAAGAGACTTGAAAAATATTAGGTTGTTCGGATGTAAGCAAGCGTTACTAAACTTAATGTTGTGAGGGAACCTTTTAAAAAATGTCTTTCTGTATTTAAAAGTACCTTATCTTGTGCATATTTGAAATCTTTTTAAACGGATAATTTCTTATTTTTAAGAACTTTAAGATCTTAAGATTTTTTCTTGCTTTAGATGACCGACTTCAAATATCAAGTTCGCGTCTGCCTATCTGCCTACTTTACGACTTCAAACTGGGCAAAAAAAAGTCGCGGAATCCTATTGAGATTTGGTCAAAGCATTTGGAAAGGATGTTTTGTCCGAAGGCCGATGCCGAGCCTGGTTCTAACGCTTTCGGAATGGTGATGAAAGTCTCGAGGATCATGAACACTCTCGTCGAGAATATCGTTGTCGACCTCAAGCGGTAGACAACGACATTTTGAGGGCTGCAATCGAATCGGATCCATGTCAAACGACGCGTGAGCTTGCTCAACAGTTTCGATGTTCAAATTCTACCATTGATGAGCATCTTCACGCCATTGGAAAGGCGATCAGATACGGGAAATGGCTTCCTCATGAGTTAAGCACTGCAAACAAGGCTTCAAGGGTCGCTACTACCAGAATCCTCATCCGCCACGCTAAAGCTTTTTTGATTCTCTCGTTACTAGAGATGAGATGTGGATCCATTTCGATAATACTATTCGAAAACGGCAATGGCTAGGACCAGGAGAACGGCCAAATCTGACCGTGAAACCGAACATTTATGAGGAAAAAGGTCATGCTCTCAGTATGGTGGAATAACAAGGCCCTTGTTAAGCAGTGAAAACACTCGTTTATATCCGAAGAACCTAATATAATATATAGATAGAATATATAATATAATACAAAATCTAATATAATAAGCGCAAATATATGAAAAAATGATGGGGTTTAGTAAACTAGTTTCAAATTAAGAACTTGGCTAGGAACTTTAATACCTACCGTAACTCGGTAATAAAGCTTACAGTAATCGTGGACTCAGTATGCTTAAAGCGTGACTCGGCTACTGCAACCTGTAACAACAGTAACTCAAGTATTTAGTGCCCTGGCCACCGTATTACTGTATTACACTCAAAAAAAAAACTCTTTAAAAGCTAAATCATAGAAACCTAGGCTGGTCACGGTACTTGGGGCATGCATGAGAACGTAAAAAAAATCGATTACCGTACTCTTTGACAAAATCGAATTTGTTCAGCTCTTTCACATCGTTTTCCCTCAGTCTTTTCACTTTCAAGACGATATCCATGTACTCTAAATTCCCATTCATCTACATCTCTAAAATTTGCCACTTTTGCCGTTTCCCGTTTCTCTCGAGTCCTGCGTCGGAAATTTCTCATAAACGCTTTTCTGAAATTCATTGACGGCCGTCCAAAATTTCTCGAAAACATCGCTTTTCAGTTTGCAATTGAAAAGCAATTTCATTGCCTGGAATTTCGATAAACTTTGATCTTTCTTTCGGTTAAGTTTAGCAAATTTGACTGTAAATTTACATGATCGTAATTAGAAATTCGTTCACATGAGAAATGAGTTTTCTTTTGAAAAGTTCCATTGAATTTGAGTTCACCAATTCTCTCGTAAATTGTTTTAGCGTATTCTCGTACATCATTTACCCATTGTGTGTTATTCTGAAAAGCTTGAGAGTTCGATTTAAAACTTAACAAAAACTTTAACTAAAGTAGCAAATCCAAGTGGTTCTTCTCAGAAAAAAAAATCCGGGTCTTTTCATTGTGAAAAGCTATGATATGCCTCTCGTATCATATCATATAATATGAAGTTTTAACCTTGAGTGTCTTGGCTGGCTTTGAAAGATGTCGAATTGGTAAAATTTGTAGCAAAAATACAGCCAAATTTTGTCAAAAAAAGCCTGGATTTCTCGCTTCAAATTTGTTAAATCTCATTCAAATTTTTGCTGAAACCGATGCGCCACATAAATTATGAACTTTCCGAACATGAACAGGAGCTTTCTAAAGTGCGCCCTGTGAACACATGAAACATGAACTTTCCAAAACATCAACTATTGGGTTGGTGAATCGAAAACTGCCGGCTATTGTCATATGTGACAGTTTGAGCACTTTCTTCAAAAGAAACCCATTTTGGTGTCAATGGAAAAGTTGTAGAGAATCAAAAAGTAAGCTTATATCCAAATTTTCAGAACGATTCAAAAACTGGTTTTCAAGAAATGCGAAATTTACGAATTTTCACAAAACTTGCATTTTAAGCGAAACTACTAAGTGTATCTTTTTGGAAATTTGGCCGTAAGCCTAATTTTTGATTCTCTACAACTTTTCTATTGACACCAAAATGGGTTTCTTTTGACGAAAGTGCTCAAACTGGGACATCTAGAGTCCTCGATTTTTGAGTCTCACACTTGTCTCACACACAGACCAAAATCCTACTACGAAAGAGGAATCCGCAAATTGCCTGTAAAATGGGCAGAAGTCGTCAATAATAATGGAAATTATTTCGAATGAATTCATGGTTTTATGTTCAATAAATTTTAGTTCAAAGTCCGGCTGTTTACAATTCACCAACCCAATATAAATGAAAAAACGAGCGCTGAACACCGCGAACATTACGAAATGCCAGAACAGAAGCTAAATCAGTCCTACGTCTTAAATCTAAATCTTAATCTGAACATGCTATCTTAAATCATCTTAAAACTTCCAAAAACTCTCACCCAGAAATCCGCTCAAAGAGGTACGATTAAAGCTATGATATGCCTCTCGTATCATATCATCTGTCATATAATTGAAGTTTTAACCTTGAGTGTATTGGCTGGCTTTGAAAGATGTAGAATTTGTAAAATTTGTAGCAAAAATACAGCCAAATTTTGTTTAAAAAGCCTGGATTTCCAAGTAAACTAGCTTCAAATTTGTTAAACCTCATTCAATTACCCTGCTTCAATCAATTATCAAATCAACAGCTTATTTTCAAGTGTTTCCAAAAGTCTGACCTCATATTTGAATGAATCTTCCGATTTTGCGATATAGTTTTCCCCTATTTTGAGAGCACTTTCAGTGAAAACATATTTGTGGAACCAACCGCTGAATCTCTTGAACGCTTTCTTTTCCAATGAATTCTTCTGGAAAAATTTTAGTGAGATAGTCTATCGAAAAAATAAAAAAAAAGCGTTTATTTGATCCAAAAATACCTCTTTATCTCCATTGACCAACAACAAAAACGGTTTATACCATTTGCGGAAAGTTTTCACGATTGTTTCAACGAGCTGCATTCTCTCGATCCCATCTTCAGCATTTTTCCATTTTTCCAAAGCTTCGATGATTGGATCAACGGATAAAGCCGCTAAATATTGTAAACTGCATTTCATTTTCAAATCTTTTACAAAAACATTCAACCACTTTTCGATAACGGGCTTTTTTTACGTTAACACGTTTAGGCTTTCTATTTAAAATTGCTTCAAATCTGCCGGATTGACTAGATCTATAGCTCAAAAAATAGAGAATCTCAAGAGCTTTCGTATTAATACATTTTAAATAATGCATAGATTTAAATTCAATGCTAAACCAACGTTTAAAAATCTCTCCTTGCGTAAATTTTAGTATAACGAAAATCAGAAAGAGACGCATTTTGATGTGGAAACGTTTTGTGAAGTGACAAATTTTTTCGACAAAGTGCTGGGGTGGGATGGAAAGATATTTCTTTAATGGATTCTATGCAAAAACAGTTTCCAGAGTCTTTTAAGTGCACTGATGAATTCTTTTTCTATTCGCATGATCCTTTTCAGAACGCAATGACAATTCTGACAATATTTTTGAAAAATAAAGATTCTTTTAGAAGTTTATTAGAAGTTGTAAGTTTATTTTCAAAAAGAAAACAAAAAGGGAAATTTGTTTTGTTTTCTTGAAAGATTCCCTAGATCGTGCGACGAGTTTCCACACCGAGAACGAATCTGAAAAAAGAAAAAATTGAATAAATGTTGAATATTAGGTTGGTGAATTGTAAACTGCCGGGCTTTGAACTAAAATTTATTGAACATAAAACCATGAATTCATTGGAAATAATTTCCATTATTATTGACGACTTCTGTCCATTTTACAGGCAATTTGCGGATTCCTCTTTCGTAGTAGGATTTTGGTTTGTGTGTCAGACAAGTGAGAGACTCAAAAATGGAGGACTGAAGATGCCCCAGTTTGAGCACTTTCTTCAAAAGAAACTCATTTTGGTGTCAATAGAAAAGTTGTAGAGAATCAAAAATTAAGCTTATAGCCAAATTTCCAAAAAGATACACTTAGTGGTTTCGCTTAAAATGCAAGTTTTGTGAAAATTCGTAAATTTCGCATTTCTTGAAAACCAGTTTTTGAATCGTTCCGAAAATTGGGCTATCAGCCCAATTTTTGATTCTCTACAACTTTTCCATTGACACCAAAATGGGTTTCTTTTGAAGAAAGTGCTCAAACTGTCACATATGACAATAGCCCGCAGTTTTCGATTCACCAACCCAATAGATACTTAAAAATCTTGTAAATTCCAGTTATTTTACTATAGTATACATGAAAACTAAGATATCCCTTAATCCCTAAAATCCCTAAAATCCAGCAAACAATTGCTACACTACCTTTGAACTTAAAAGTCAATCAACATGAAAATTGAAGAAAAATGGATTCTTCAGCACTTTCAATAATAAATTGTAAATGTTCTATCTATTATTCAATTAGTAATATTCAAAATCCGCAAAAAAAACCCCACCTCGAGTACGCACTATTGAGCTGTTCGAGGAAGATAAAGAGAAGAACGGTGTGTGGACCAAGACGGAAATAGTATGGGGTGAAACCCTTCCACAAAGCGAGAACACCCTCGTTTCGGATAACCTGGAAATGGAGAAAATCACCCGACTTTTTTTGATGCTTATGCTGGTTTTCTGAAGCAAAAATACAAGCAAAATACAAGCGTTTCTAACTTGTCAAAACAAAGAAAAAAAAAAAAAAAGGGGGAGGTGGAGGGAATGAAGACAAAAATAAAAAAAGGGAAAGGGGTTGGGGGTGTGGGACGGGGGGGGGGCCGGGCGGGCGGAATCAGGGAAATATGGAAACATTGGTATAATTGTTTTTTTTGGGTTTTTTTTGTTTAACTAGTACACTACAAACGCGTCTAAATTGCTTCAAATCTGCCGGATTGGCATGATCCATAGCTCAAAAAAATAGAGAAACTCAAGAGCTTTCGAGTGGATCAAAGCACGCCAAAAAAATATAATTTCTAAAGAAAGTTACAATGGTTTGTAGCTTCGACTACGCGCGAGTACGGTCCGTTTCGAGTCACGACTACAAACCATTGTAACTTTCTTTTAGAATTGATATTTTTTTAGTGTGCTTTGATCCATTCGAAAGCTCTTGAGTTTCTCTATTTTTTGAGCTATAGATTATGTTAATCCTGAAGATTTGAAGCAAGTTAGACGCGTTTATAGTTTACGTTTGTAGTTTATAGTGCCAATGTCTATTTGGTTGTATTTTTGGTTTCAGAAAACATTTTAGCGTAACAGTTCGTCGTTTTTCTCGTTTTATACTGCGTCTACAACCAAAAAGCGGCTCAAATTTGTCTTTAAAACCAGCTTTTCATTTAAACAAATCGCAAGGAAAAGCTTGGGGACCATTTTACGGATAATTTTAAAATAAAATTGCATTTCAAGAACCAAAACTACAGATTTTATCAATATGAGTTGAAAATCTATTAGATTCAGTTATTTTAGCGTTCAAAATCTTCAACCAACCCTCTGCCAAACGTCGATCGCATTCCTGTACTCGGGCACTCCGTTGATCGTGCGCATCGATTGCATTCTAAAGAAAAAAGAAAGTATAACAAAGGATTAATAGTTCTAAAAAGCTTATCAACTTTAACAAAGTCAACTCTCGATTTAACGATGCGAAAATTGCATTTCATTCAACGATTTGCACTCGATTTAACGATTTCTTCAATTTAGCGATGTGAAATGTGCATTTGATTTTCGATTTTCAGCTAAAAATGCAGCAGATTACTATTGAAATCAGAAAATATATTGCTAAAACTGCAAAAGCCTTTTTACATTTACATTATTTACAAAAACTTCAAGAGCAAAATGCAAAAGCCGATGCAAAAGTTGTTTAATGCTCGCTTATCGATGATTTTTCACACACAAACTTTTTCTGCTAATAACAAAGCTTCTTTAACTGATTTTTCTTATTAGGCTTTAGTTTTCTTCTGATAATTCGGTCTCTATAAGTCTTTTTGTTGATATATTTGTCAAAATGATTCGATTTAACGATTTGGTCGTTAAAGCTTCATATTTTTACTTTGATTTAACGTGATTCGATTCAACAATTTCAAGCATCAATCCCTTGCAAATCGTTAAATCAAGTTTTGACTTTATTTAGATAAAATTAGATATAATTACCCACCTAGTCTTGGCCATATCGACGGGCATCGAGGCAAGTGTCGCACAAAGTCCTGAGCACATCGAGGCCACGAAATGACACGATAAACCGTCCTAAAAGACAGGAAATTGTTAAATTTATAAATTCCCCGTAAAAAAAAGTTACAAATCTATCTTTTACCTGAAGAGTTCCCGATTCCAAAAGCATTTGTTTCGCCTGTGAATAGGTGGCGAGTTGGGAAACGGCGACCACCATCGCTCGCAACATTGTCGGTCCAGAACCCTAAAAAATTGAATAGAAGTAAAAAAGCTAAACTGAATCTCTGTTTTAAAACCGTTCGTTAAAGTTCGTACCCTCCACAAGGCGAGTGGTCCTTCTTCTTTGGTGATGCGAACAAGGGCGTCGAAAACGTTATGGTAGTTGCGCCTTTGCTCGACGGGAAGACGACCGTCTGATGTCATTCTATAAGAGAAATTTGGGGTAGGCTAATTTCCGCATTTTTTTTGCGCAATAGGGCCCTTTGCGCAACTGGGTCGTTTACGCAACTCGCCATAACTTTCTTCTAAGTCAGCTAATCTTTATGATATTGGTTTTATTTCGTTGCACTTATTGAGATCTACAAAATGACACCAAAATCATAAAGATTAGCCCACTTCGAAGAAAGTTATGGCGAGTTGCGCAAAAAAATTGCGGAAATTAGCCTACCCCAGAAATTCGAATGCTTGAAGGAATTTTTTCTAAATTTCCATTTTCAGCTTCTCTAGAGGGCCTTTCTTTTGTAAACTTTTTCCAAATTTCGGCTCAAGCAGGCTACCGAAACGCTTTAAAGCATGCTCTCTCCAGGCTCCCGTAGATCTAAATCAATTAGCAAAATGCATAGTAACCCAGGTTGTTGGGTATCTTGGTTACTGTCACATTAACTAACTTATAATCAGAGATAGGCAACGCAACAATTTTCACGATTAAACCAAAGGCATAGAAAAAGATAGCCCAGCTATCGTAAGCCGCTTAAATCTCTATACCTGGATGCTTTAGATTAGACCTGTTCATTTGTCGGTCTGATTGCTAATAGGTGTAACGGAAAAATGAGTTTTGACCACTTCAATGGATACTTTTTCAAGGATTTTTCAGATCAAAAGATAGAGCTTGAAAAACTGTAGCAAGAGGTGAAAAAGTCGTCGTTGAAGTGGCCAAAACTCGTTTTTCTGTTGTACACCTATTGGCAATCGGATCGACAAATGAACAGCCCTACTTTAGACTATTTGAGTCGGCATTCGGATACAATATACGAGTGATAAAACGTGAAAAATCTAACCTGATCAGCGCCAACTCGGCTGGATTCCCCACAAAAGCGCCCACTGCACCGGCCGACATCGCAATCGAGGCCTTCGCCGCAAAGGAGAGATTCGAAGCGGAGGGACTGAAAAGAAGCATTTAACTAGAGAATCGAGAACAGAGAGCATTTCGTAAAGTTCAGGTGTTCATGTGTTCATAGTCCTTTTTTGGAAAGTTCATGTTCCTGCTCGAAAAGTTCATAATTCATGTCGCAAAAGTTCATTTTCTGCTTTCTCTATCACTTTTTATTAATTTTTAGCAATGGATACATTCATGGATTCTTTCAGGAAGTTTTCTCCAACTTTTTAGTTTTACTTGCTGAAACCGATGCGCCACATGAATTATGAATTTTCCGAACATGAACAGGAGCTTTCTAAAGTGCGCCCTGTGAACACATGAACCATGAGCTTTCCAAAACACCAACTATAAACGAAAAAACGAGCGCTGAACACCAGTACAACACTACGAAATGCCAGAACAGAAGCTAAATCAGTCCTACGTCTTAAATCTCAAACTTAATCTGAAAATGCTATCTTAAATCTTAAATCATAAAACTTTCAAAAACTCTCACCCAGAAATCCGCTCAAAGAGGTACGAGTAAACGCCGAGTCGAGTCGCCCCATAAGTGATCTGAAAGAAAAAAGGAAATCTCGATTAAGAACAAATTCAGATTTAAACCCATTCAATAGTTTAGTTCCAGACTTTTAAAACTCAAAAATTGCGGGAGTGGGACAAATGCGACCTTTTTTTTGCGCACCCGGACATTTGCGCACCTTTTTTTCCGCACCTTGCTCATTAGCGCACCTTTTTTCGCGTTTTAAAAAAGCTCTAAAAGCTAATATTAACCAATTTCTATTCTAAAAGTTGTTTTTCTAGGTAATTTGAGGGTGTCGAATTCAAATTTTGACATAACAGAGCGTGAACGGCTAGATCAAATTACAGAAAATTGTCGATTTTTCTCTTTGTATAACTCCGTCCCTTTGTTTCCACAAGCTCTGATACGTCAAAATTTCGATTCTACGCCCTAAAATTACCTAGAAAAACAACTTTTGGAATAGAAATTGGTTAATATTAGCTTTTTAGAGCTTTTTAAAACGCGAAAAAAGGTGCGCTAATGGGTAAGGTGCGGAAAAAAAGGTGCGCAAATGTTCGGGTGTGCAAAAAAAAGGTCGCATTTGTCCCACTCCCAAAAATTGCACTTACTTGTCTCAAAAGTCCGGCTGAGAGTCCATTGTAGAGAGCGAGAGGGCCTTCTTTTTCGAGAATTGTCGAAAGTGCGTGAAATGAGGAACGAAATTCCTAGAATTGATTTGAAAAAAAAGTTGAAAACTGATCAAGAAGCCCACTTTTTGGCCGGTTTTCCCCGAAAGTTGCATTCGATTTTTGACGAGATCCAGCGGCTGCACGATTGTCGTCGCTCCCATACTAAAAAGTTTATCTATTAGGGAAATTTCAAGTCTTCAAGCAAAACAAGCTTCAAGACTAAAGCACTATTGCAAATTGAAATGTTTACTAAAATACTAAAACGGGGCACTGTAAGTTACAATCATTTAAAGATACTTTTCTTTCACCGTATGATGAAAGAAAAGTATCTTTAAGTGATTGGAACGTGGTTCAAAGTGGCTTGATTGAAAGATTTAGCAAAACTGTCTTTTATAGTAATCTGAGAGTCTTTCAGATTCCGGAAAAGATCAAACTTAGATTCAACCTCTTTGCCAAGATTAATATTTCAAAGTAAATCAAAGCCATTCACCCAGCCAATCCACCGGTGACGAATTTGACTCCATTCGGTAGTGATCTCTTGTCCTGACTCTCGCCGACCATTTGAATGGAGAATTGTTGAAGGGAATGATAGGTGAAATGAATGAAAAAGAATAATCAGTTGAAAGAAGGACAAGACGAGGCAATGATCACAGAATATGAAATGAAATAGAAATGGAATCGATGGGGTGAGCTGGAAATGAGTTTGTATCCAAATTTTTATCGTATGTAAAGTGAGAGAATTTGAGAGAATCAACAGTTCTTCAGAATTTTTCATATTTTCTCTAATAGTAGTGCACCCCGGCGAGCCGAGTTGATCACTATTTTACGGTTTCTAAGTTTTTGCAGAAGCTCAACCCTCTAATCCCCCACGAGATCTCATCGTCAGCTACATTTTCCGACCCCACATCGATAGGTTCTGATTAGCGGTTCTCGAGATTTCGAGCAATTTAGGCGACGCTCAGGGTGGACTACTATTAAGAAAAATACGGCAATGAAACATGGACCATTAGCTCATCTAAATACTAAGTTGGTTCTCTACTCTTTATTGGGTGGAGCGATGTTTAACTACACGGAGACTCCCATTGAATATCAGGTAGGGGAAAGAAAAGATACCGCATTTTCCCTACCACTGCACTGCGCCGAGCCGAGTTGATGACTATTTTACGGTTACGAAGCTTCTGCAGAAGCTCAACACTCAAATCCCCCACAAGATCTCATCGTCAGCTACATTTTCCGACCCCACATCGATAGGTTCTGATAAGCGCTTTTCGAGATTTCGAGTAATTTGGGCGAAGCTTAGGGTGCACTACTATTAGAGAAAATGGGGTATTCTGTATTTCCTCTAATGGTAGTGCCCTCTCCTCCTCCCCCCGGTCTAGCCGAGTTGGTGACTATTTTACGGTTTTCAAGTTTTTGCAGAAGCTCAACACTCAAATCCCCCACAAGATCTGGTCGTCAGCTACATTTTCCGACCACACATCGATAGGTTCTGATAAGCGGTTCTCGAGATTTCGAGTAATTTAGGCGAGGCTCAGGGTGCACTACTATTAAGAAAAATACGGTATTCAAATCTTTTAAAAAGTAAATTCACCTCCTGAAAGAAGGGAAATGTCGGGAATGTCGTTGAGATCTGAAAGTTTTGTTTTGAAATTGTTTATTTTTTAAATATTATCATTGTATCGCTTATAAAAAGTTAAAATCAATGAAATAATAAAAATATTCAATTTTATTTCAAATAAACTGAAAACGGGGAATTGTTTTGTTATTTTGAGCCCAACAAAACCGCTTGTTTACGAGAAAGATTTCCCTCCTTTTTTCCTGGCCCAAAAAAAGGAAATCAAAGAGAGAAAAGAGAAGAGAATCGAAAAAGAAAACGTTCAACAACATTGAAATGACTCCAAATGTACAGATTAAAATTTGAAAAGTTGATAATGGTCAAAGATCATTGCGATTCGAACTGTAAACAAGAACAAGAATTAGTTCTTTCAAAAATTTGTTGAAATTACAAGATTTTCAGAGCTTTTGAATTGTAAGTTGCAACAGAGCTCAACTCTGATTTGCTTATCAACTCTAAAATGGATCCAGGGTACTTTAAAACTTCAAACTTTAACGTAAATCAATCATAAAATCGAATTCACTGATTGAATTGATAAAAAAGGGAAGAAAAAAAATCTTGTCCAATAGTTACAAATTAATTTTTTACAAGTCTCTAAGCTATCAATGTTTCCCTCTTTTTTCCTGGCTTAGAAAAAAAGAAATCAAAGAGAGAAAAGAGAAGAGAATAAAAAAAGAAACGTTCAACAACATTGAAATGACTCCTCTAAAAAAATTCTTTAAAAAATTTGTTGAAATTACAAGATTTTCAAAGCTTTTGAATTGTAAGTTGCAATTTCAGAGCTCAACTCAACAACAGAGCAACAAATGGATTCTGGGTACTTTAAAATTTCAAACTTTAACGTAAATCAATCATAAAATCGAATTCACTGATTGAATTGATAAAAACGGAAAGAAAAAATCTTATCCAATAGTTACAAATTAATTTTTTACAAGTCTCAAAGCTATCAATGACTAAAATTTGAACAAAAACACTAAAATTGTACTTTGCATATTGTATAATATTGTATAAATCTCAAAAAATACCCGAATTTCTTCGGAATTTGAATATAAAATATGAAACAAGGTGGTAAACAGATGAAAATCAACTGAAAATGTGTATGGAAATGTTTTTTTCTCTCAATTTTTCCCTTTTCTCCAATTCCGTCAACAACGACTCTTTTTAAGCTGAAAAAGGAAAAGAAAAGAAAAAAATCAAAAAGGAAAACCCCGGGAATCTTATTTACTTCGAAAAGTTGAATAAAGAGATGGGTAAAAGGCAATAAAAAGGTGGAAATCTTTTGGGATTTTGAGGCTGAATATAGGCTAAATATTTAATGATTAGATGGCTTAGATGCTTAGATTCCATAAAACATTTAGCTGATTGAAGAGAACTAGATTGACAACGTGAAAGTTCGTACACTTTTTCGTATTCTCCATAAAACTTATTTAATAACTCAATTGAATTCGACTTCTCTAAATAAAAGTTACCGTAAATACTGTAATAGTACCCCAGCCCCATAATGACGTTGCGGAGTGTTGCGTAGTGTAGCTTTGAACGAGTTTTTCTCGACACTGGTTTATGCTACAATGCGCTGATTGCTCAATGCCAAAATAGAAGTAGTAGAATTGACTAGGCTAATCAAAATAGTGCAAAAATCAGCTGCCCATACGCCTGCCCGATATCTGGCATAGAAGTTTGCGATATCTCGCTTAAAAGGCTTCTCTCGCGCGATAATGTCGAGCGGTGCGGAGTGTTGCGTCGTCTAGCTTTGGACGCGTTTTTCTCGACACTGGTTTATGCTACAATGCGCGCTTAGGTATCAAAAAATAGCTGAAATTCAGGGCTATTTTTTAATACTAAAGACGGATTTTTTGAAAATACGGGCGCTTTGAAAAAAATGACTCTCGACTTTTGACCCAACAAAATTTCTATTTGGCTATTTGGGCGACCTACATGGAGTATCGAAAATGTCTGCATGGCGAGCATGTAACGAGATTGTGCAATATTTTGTCAAAAACTCTGCACAATTCATCAAATGACCGCTGGGTGCCTATGCATGTCGAACAAAACTACTTCGAATTTTGTTTTGTTTTATAAATCCTCATTTGCTGAAGATGATTAATAGTCTATAAGTAAGCACAAAAATCTCATACCGTAAATACTGGAATAGTACCCCACCCCCATAATGACGGTGCGGAGTGTTGCGTAGTCTAGCTTTGGACGCGTTTTTCTCGACACTGGTTTATGCTACAATGCCCGCTTAGGTATCAAAAAATAGCTGAAATTCAGGGCTATTTTTTGATACCAAAGACGCATTTTTTGAAAATACGGGCGCTTTGAAAAAAATGAAATACTAAAAAAAACTTTTGCGACTACGCGACTGTACGAGGGGGTGGGGTACTATTACAGTATTTACGGTATATATTATCTCATTTAAGAAATGCTTAAGCAAATTTGGGTAACTTTTGAAAGGAATTTGAGCAGAAATTCAAGTTTTTCTGAAAATTCTTCAGATGGAACTATAAAAAAAACAATTGATTAGATCTAGCTGAAAATTTGGTTATTTATCTAACTTGTTATGCTCTCTCTCTCTCTTTTTTATTGACACTAAAATAGGTTTACGTGAAAGAAAGTGCACAAATCGCTTGATCGAGTGTTCATCATATTTGGGCTAAAAAGGCTCAACTTCTTGCCCCCTAGAAACCCACAAAATCGAAGCTTTTCTAAATCTGTCAAAAGCCGGTGTCAGAGAATAAATGGGCCTTTTTATTGGTAAAAACTGTAAATTAATTGATGCAGTAGTTATTTCTAAAAAGTCCAATCAATAAGTGTACCAACTTTCAAGTTGCCAATTTAATAAAAGTCAAAAACTCTCATTTAAACAAAAGTAACCAAATCATTTCTAAAAATAGAAATAACTTTCAGCAAAGTAGAAGACTAAAAGCAATTCAAAGCAATTAAAGCAATTTCTTAGCTTTAAATATAATGAGTATTTTGACCATAAATCACCACCAAAAATCAATTTTAGTGGTGATTTGTGGGGATTTTTGACGAGTTTAGTAGCCAAAGTAAAAGAGAGGGCTCAAATGTCACAAAAAAGGATCATTTCACTTTTCCCACAACTTCCCCACTCAAAAGAACAGCTGAATTTTCGAGATTTATCATTAACTTTTCAGTTGTTTTTCAATCTAGTTAAAAACGTTTAAATTATAAAAGTTAAATTACAAATTATAAATTAAATTCAATTATAAAAGTTAAACTACAAATTATAAATTAAATTAAATTCTAAAAGTTTTAAGAATGAAAACCCGAGTGAAAGAGACGATTCAAATGTCAAAAGAGCTATTTTCCCAAAAAAATGAAAAGTTAAACGAAAAATGAACAAAATAAAGTTCAAATAAGGTTTTTCCTCTTTATTTTTATTCAAATATTTAATTTTATTCAAACTTTTCTGAAAATGGAACAAATTTTGGGGGTGGAACAAACGCGACCTTTTTTTGCGCATCTGGACATTTGCGCACCTTTTTTTTGCTGGAAAAGGCCTTAGGAAAGGTCGTAGAGCTTCGAAAATATTTCCATATAAGGGAGTCGTATGCGTAGATTCCGAATTTCGACAAATCAGACCTCGCTGACACGTCAAATTTGGGCTAAAAGGCAAAAACTGCGGAAAAGCGTTAAGTTGTGTAGTTTTGGCCTTTTAGCCCAAGTTAGATAAATCGAGTTAGATAAATTATCAAAATAAAGCTTAAATAAGGGTTTTCCTCTTTATTTTTATTCAAATATTTAATTTTATTCAAAATTTTCTGAAAATGAAACAAATTTTTGGGGTTTTCAATAATTCATTTTTCCGGAGAGCGCCTTTGAAATCTGAACTTTGGAGAAAGAATTTTTGATTTGCTGTTAGGAGATAAATTTACGCGAAAAGCCAAAAAAAATAACTAAATTTTATGATATAAACTTAGAT